CGCGCGCCGAAGCCCGGCGCCCCGCCCCTCTGGCGGGCCCTCGCGCAAGCGACCTACCAGGGCAGCCTTGGCCACGGCGGCCGCGGCGGCGGCGACGTTCTCAGCCTTGGCGGCAGCTGGCGGGTCTGAGCGGTGCAGCGGGGCCGACGGCGTCGGCGAGACTGCTCAGGCCCCCCAGGGCGACCAAGCAGAATATCGATGTCCTGCTCTCCGCGGCCTCTGGGGCCAGCTCGAGCGAGGCGGGCCGCCCGAGTATGGGGGCGGCGGGGGCGCCGCCCGTGAGCGAGGCTCTCGCCGGCGTTGCTGCTTTAAGCCTCGGGGGTCTCCTGCCTGGACCTCCTGCGGGCCCCGCAGCAGAAGCCCCTTTTGGCTCTTGCTCGGTGGTCGAAGTGGCTGTTGCGAGGCCTGTGGGCCCTCCGACTGCCGCGGGCCCCCAGTCGGGGGCCGCTGTCGGCTTGAGGGGCGGGGGTCGCGCCGCTGCCTCGCGCGGCGTGGGCGGGGTCCGCAGCCGCGGGGGGGTGGCGGGGGAGGGGCTCGGAGAGCGCCCTGAGGCCCGCCCCCCCAGGTCCTGCTTTGCCTCTTGTGGGTCCCGCTGCAGTGGTCCCTCTGGAGGCCTAGCGTTGTCTGCCGCGTGATGTAGCCAGCCGCCTCTGTCTGGTGCTACGACGGGCCTCTGCGGGCCAGGGCTCTGGCCGTCTGCTGAAAGCTTATTTTTCGGCAGCCAGGTCCCGTCGCAGCGCTGCCCGTCGCTCAAGGTCGCCCGAACCATCTCGGTCGGCGAGTTTCGACGGCCCCCCTGGGCCCTCTGCCGCCGCGTCTTTCGTTGGCGACGGCGCAGGGGCCCCTGGGGTGGCCCGTGGAGGGCACCAGCCGGTCACCGTCAATGGTGCGCCATTTGCCCCAAGTGCCACCGCTGCGCCCGCGTCGTCGGCGGGAGCATCGTGGGCAGGCAACGGCCGTGTAAGCTTCCCGCCAGTGCTCGAGGCTTGCGGCATCGCTTCGGGAAGATCCAAAGGATCAGGATCGGGCTGCCGACGAAAGAGGCGCATCCAAGGGCGCAGGTTCACTGAAGGGGGGAAAGGCGATGTGGCGGTGGGTCGGTCCGTTGGCCGCTCGTTCCTTTGCCACGCTGCTCCCCGTCCCTTGGCGCTCGCCTGCCGACTGTGCCCGCGGCTGCCATGGGGCGGCTGCGCTGACCTGAGCTCGCGCCGCGCGGGCCTGGCACTCAGCTAAAAAACGCGCCCCCAGTGGGGCCGTCCGCGTGCGTCCCGGAAGTTCAATTTGTTTTTTTTTCCGCCCGCCCAGTACAGCATTTCGTGGCCCCATAGGGAGCTACACCGAAGCCCCCCGTGGGACGGTCCGCGTGCGTCCTACACACCCAATGTGGCATCACCTACCCAGTACAGCGTTTCGTGGCCCCACAGGGACTTCCACCAACGGCCCCAGTGCTACCGCCCGCATGCGTTCCCCCCTCACCCAGTGCAGCGGTTCGTGGCCCCATAGGGAACTTCACCGAAGAAAGTATTCACAAATTGCGGTACCCACAACTGCATATGGTTGGGCCCTTTGCCATGATTTTGTTTGGGGGGAAGCCAAAGGGAACTTAATCATGTTTGCCTCAGGAGGCCCTCTTGGGAGGCCTCTTGGTGGCCTCTTGGGGCGTCTTGGGTCGTCATGGGCATTCTTGAAACCGTTTTGGGCGTTTTGGGGCGCTCTTTTTGCGACTCGGGGCCCTCTTGGGCCGTCTTGGGGGCCTCTCGGGAACCTCCTGGCCCGTCTCGGGGCCTTCTTGGGCCCGAAGATGTCATGCGACAGGGCGCCGGGAACTCTAGAGCCACGTGGCCATCCTCGGACCAGGGTCCGGGTCCCTTACAGAGAATGGTCGGGATCGAGGGCTGAGGCTCCAGGAGGTAGAACAAGGAACCTGAGGACACTCCGACTCGTGCCTCGAGGGCACGGTGGCTGATTTCTTTCCTTATTTCTCTCTCTCTCTCTCTATATATATGCACATGTATATGTTTGCATGTACGTATGTATGCATGTGCGCATGTCTGCATGCATGCATATATGTGTATATGTATGCGTCTGTGTCTGCTTGTATTTTGTGTGCTTGTATTTTGGTATGCACGTACGCATGTGCGTATGTGTGTGTATGTATGCATGCATGTTCGCATGAATGTTTATATATGTATATATATGTGCACATGTATGTATATATGTATGCATATATACGTGTATGCATGCGCATATCTACATATATATATGCACGTACGTATGTGTGTATGTATGCGTGTATGTATGTATGCATATACGTATGTATGCATGCATTTATGTATACATGTATGCATGTATGTATGTTTGTTTGTACGTATGTATGTACGTCTGTATGTATTGATGTATGTATGTATATACATGTATGTATATACGGATGCAGGTATGTCTTCATGTATGTACGTACGTATGTGTGTATGGATGCGTGTATGTTTGTCTGCACAAATGTATGCATGTATGTATGCATGTGTATGTATGGATGCATGTCTGTCTGTCGGTATGTCTGCATGTATATAGGTGTGCATACAGCTCTATACGTCTAGGAGGTACGCTTCAGATCATGATTGTATGCACGTATATCCGATTTTCAGAGCATTCCTGCAATTCGAGCCGGTCTCTTAGACAGTGCCAGCAAGTTTGGTAGACAGACAGTGCAACATCGAGAGAGAGAGGGACATATGGCACCCCTGATCTGAAGAGCGAGTGATATATTTGCATATGTAGAGAGAGAGAGAGAGAGAGAGAGAGAGAGAGAGCGAGAGACCGAGCCAAATATATATGTACACAGGGTACCGCTCGAATCAATACATTTCTCTCTCTCTCTCTCTATATATATATATCCAGATCTATAGAAAGATAGGTGGAACAGGGGATGAGAGTGAGACAGAGGGAGAGAGTGTGAGAGAGATAGAGAGAGAGAGAGAGAGAAACAGAGATAGTGGTAACGAGAGAGAGGGAGAGAAGTAGAGAGGTAAACATAGAGTGCGTGACATATTCTCTATATTCACAGCTATGACATTGATATACCTATACATATATGGATTCCTAAACATTGCAATTCGGGTTTTTAGTTTTGTTTTACTAACGAACTGGGCAGTGTCTTCGGTCTGGCGGCTATGTGGCCGCCGTCGCCGCCCCGTCGCCGCCTCGTCGCCGCCCGTCGTCTGGGCCGTGTCTTCGGTCTGGCGGCTATGTGACCGCCGTCGCCGCCTCGTCGCCGCCCGTCGTCTATCTTTCTGGCGGCTATGTTGTCCCCGTCGCGGCCTCGTCGCCGCCGTTGCCGCTGTCACAGATGCGTCAATTTATTTTCCTTTGTGAAAGAACTATAGACTCTCCCTCCCTCCCCCCTCCCGGACTGAACGGAACCCGTTCGCGTATTGCAATTTTCACCTGATTCTGCCCCATCGCCCATTTTGATTTTAAATTCATAACATCCCATGCAGGCCTGCATCCCCCTTCAACTTCTGCAACAAATAGCATACGCGCGCACTCGATTATCAAGATTCATCAGTTCTCAAGAATCACCTGCAACAGATGGGACGAAATGCACACGCGCACATCGTCGCGCGCGCATGCCGAAATCCTTCAAACACCTCAGGTGTCTTTCAAGAATTTCAGAATCGAGTGTCCCGAACACAAAAGCATACGGTTTCGCAGCACGAATTTTCAACAGAAAGCCTCCGTTCGCGCTCTTGCGGATACTTCAGAAAGCCATCGGTTCTCCGACATGTTCATGACATGCGATCAAACGGGCCTCTCGCGCGCACATGTCGAAATCGTTCGAACGCTCCTGCTCGCGTGCTATGGCAAGAGTCCCTTGCAGCAGATGGGACGAAGTGCGCACGCGCGCGTCGTCGCGCGCGCACGCCGGAGTTCTTCACAGACCTTAGGTGTCGCAAGGGTTTCAATGTCGAGTGCTCCGAGGGATACAACACCACATGGTTTTGCGACGCCAGGTTTCAAAAACCTTCGCTCGCGCTCCTGCGGATTCTTCAGAAATCCATCGGTTTTCCAGCATGATCGTTCAATTCGGTCGCGAGAATCCTTTGCGTCAAATGGGACGAAGTGCACGTGCGGCGTCGTCGCGCGCGCATGCCGAGACCTTACGTGAGGATCTCAAACACGAATGCCCCGGAAACATAAAACAGCACATACTTTTACAACATTCGGGGGCGGAAACGAGGGGGGTGATGACTAGGGGGGGTGGATATCATGGCGGGGGCCATGATATTTCTCCAGATTTCATGGCGCCTCTTCTTATTTTATTACGTCCCTGGCCCCCCCGCTGGGCCGCGCACATGCCGCCGGTCATGATTTGCACCCCCCCTCTTGGACACCCCCCTCTTGGCCGCTCCCGAAACATCAGTTTTCAAAAAGAGCCTGCGCGCGCGCGCTGGCGAATTCTTGAGCAGAGCATCGGTTTTTCAGTATTGCCATCAAACTCTGCCAAATATGCCTCTCGTGCCGCATGTCGAACTCATCCCAACGCCCTTGCGCGCGCGCTTGGGGGGGGGGGGCACGATCCGAGTCAAATAAGGGGTAGGAGGGAGAGGGGCGGGGATATGGAGCATGCAGCTTAGGACGAAAGTGAGTACCAGTATGGCAAAGCGAGGAGCCAGGGAGCTGGTAGAGCTAGTCAGGAATCAGGAGGGCATGCCGATGTGAAGCCAGTCGAACGAAACGACTAACATAGCTCACATTAATATTGCCACTGCTAGCGTCACTGGCCTGACTGCCATGGCTCGCCCTCGTTTGTGCCTCCCCCCTCTTCTCTCGCCTCATCCTCGTCATCGTCGTCCGCGTGTGGTGCGTGCCATCTTCACTCGTCTAGGCATGCGTGAGTCTTGCTGGGCTTCAACAAACTGTCTTCTCGGCTACATTGAAGCAGCCCTGTCTTGTTGCCGCAGTTGTGCCGCTTGCTCTCCGCGTGCCACGCGCATTTCGGCTTCAGATGTAGTGCTCCGGCCGTCGTGGTCTGACCTGGGCGAGTCGAGGCGCCGATGCTCACGTGGACGCAGCCGTGTAGAGAGGGTGGAGGACAGTGCTGATGCATACGGGGATTTTTGATACTGATTGGGGAGAAGGAGTGGGGGGAAGGAGGAGGAGGAGTTGGGGGGAGGATGAGGAGCAGGGAGGAGGAGGAGGAGGAGGAGGAGGAGGAGGAGGAGGAGGAGATGGTTCTGTAACAAGTTGAACACCCCCTCCTTGTTCGCAGCCTCGTTATCGTCTTTGTTTTTCCTTGCTCCCCTTTTCCACTCTCCCCTCCGCTCCGTCTTCAACACATCTTGCAGGTTCTACGGGAGCCTACTGAATATCTCTCGTGGGCCTCTCAGAGCCGCTTTGGCGGCCTTTAGAACATCAGTTCGGGGGCCTCTTGGAGGCTTCTTGGGGACAAATTGGGCGCTTCTTGCTGCCTCTCGGCGGCGTCTTGGAGGCCTCTGGGGGCCTCTTGGGGACTGCCCTCAGGGGCGTGTTTTGACTCCCATCGAGGGGGTTTGTTCTTGGAACCTTTTTCGTTTTATGTGGAAAATGACCCAGCATCGGCGCCGGAAAACGGGGGGGGAATATTGAGGGCGCGCGCGGCGAGGGGTGGCGGTCGGCCGTAGAAAGCACGAAAGACACTTTACCAGACCAGAGCGGAGCAATTTGACACGCCCACTCCGTGCAGGCACTGTAGCGGATTGACATGATATCGGAGAGAGGTTTTCTTGGCCGTTTCAGGACAAGCAACGGTTTCTGCGGCAAATCGTCCTTTGCCCCAGCAGCATTCCGCGGGACATGGTTAGGAACCAGTCCAAACAAGTTCCGCTTGTTAAGCTTATCTGTGCGCACCAGTGGAATCTCCAACTATGGCGACGTTGTATTACAGGCGAGCCATGGCAGCATGCAGGAACTCATCAACAACACCATTGATGATAGAATGCGTTAGGTAAATTCGGAACGTGCTATGTTGGTCCCGGTGGCAGCCATGACGAACCCGATTTGATTCGGCATGGCTCTCCGTGGGATGTGCACCAGTAGCGAAACGAACATGCATTCTTGTGATATCCTGGAATTGCAACAGGAATCATGCCGCAAACCAACATCCATGACTTTATATACTTCATGGTAGAAGCGGGGCCAACAGGAGGAACAACCGAACACACGCAAACATCACATATCGAGCACAGGATTACTTATTCAACAGTGAACGAGATCCTGTGATAACCGATCCGCGGTCCGAGAACGAGATCCTGTGAATGAGATCCTGTGAACGAGATCCTGTGATAACCGATCACAGTTCATTGCGAAGTGTCTGCGCCAGCTAAACAGATGGTGTGTCCTTAACGACAGCAACTCGTTGAACTCAAAGGCTAACGGAAAGGTTCGCGTGGCGGTGAAACGTTGCCTGCGGACTGGTATGTGTACCATCTGTTCAACGCGGTCACCGTGGTTGCTTTGTCCCGCAATGTGGGCCTGGCGCCGAACCTGAGTATACTCAGGCGTACTAGTGATGTGGCTCGCCAATTGGAGCAGTGGAGTGCTCTAGTTGAGGCCATGAGAAAGTGTGGACCTTCGTGCTCGTTGCCTTTGCCGTTCGCGGTTGCCGCGCTCGGAGTCATCGCGGCTCGCGCGGGGGGCTGGTTGGGCGACTGGCATCGGTGCTGTCCCGCGGCGCCATTTTCGTCATATGCGGGAAACTACCAGAATCCCCAGGTCATGCGCGGAGGGTGTGCGCGAAAGAAAAGACTCGACGCAGACGCGAAGGACAGCGACGCCGTGGGAATTCAGCAAGTTGGCGAAGCGAAGAGTTGGCGACCATGCTGTGCTGGGCGGGGCAACCGTGCTAGGGGGCGCCGCTCAAGCCAACCGCGCGTTGCTGGCATCCCTCAAAGAGGACGCTCATTCCGCGACGCTGCTGCAGCAGTCTTTCAAGGAAGCGCGCGTGGGTCGCGTGACCCAGCCTGTCACGGCTGAGCAGGCCGACCTTAGTACAAACGTATTGTCGCCGCGCTTCGGGTTGTGCAAACGCGGTCCAATGGCGACATACGCGTTCGGGCTGTTGACGATCTAACTCGCGCGAAAGTAAACGGGTGCACCTCGGCAGGCGAGAAGTTTCGCCCCGAGTCCATCGATGCGCTGTATCGCGTGGCGAGGGGCGTGGCGCAGGGCACGCGCGAACGCATCATGTTCTACAAAGCCGACGTTGATTCGGCCTTCCGTAGGCTGCCCGCCATGCCGATGCATCGCCGGTTCCTGCTCTTCGTTTTCCTCGCGCAGGGCGTGGCCCATGTGGCAGGGCACCTGGCCATGCCCTTCGGTGCCGTCGCGTCCGTGCATGCGTGGGAGAGGGTCGGCGCGCTCATTTCGCACCTTGTGCGTCGCCTACTGTTCATTCTGATGCTGCGTTTCGTCGATGACCTCTTTGGCGCCGAGCGCGCGGCATGCGCCGAGCACGCGCTCGAGTGCATCGTGCGGCTCGTGCGCTGCATCCTCGGCCCAGAATTCTGCAATCGCGGCGGACAAGGTCGCCGCGGGCATGCCGCTTGTCGTCCTGGGCCTTCAGGTCCGCGCAGACCACGGCGGTTTCTCGTGCACACCCTCGCCCGGCAAGGTCAAGAAGTGGCGCGGTCGCATTGGCGACGCGCTCTCCTCGGGCGTTTTGCGGCCGGGGGACGCGGCAAAGCTTGCGGGCGCCCTGATGTGGGCATGCTCGGGCATGGTCCATCGCATAGGGCGCGCGCTCATCCGGCCCTTGTTCGCCCACTCGAAGCAGTGCGGCGTGGTGGTGCCGCAGCAGCTGCGCGTCGCACTCGAATGGTGGGCAGAAGTCTTAGCGCTGGAGCTCTGCGAGACCCGTGTCTGGGCGCCAGACCAGCGCGAGGCAGCGCAGCTCTTTGTCGACGCGCGCAGCACGCCGCCCCGTGTCGCGGCTGTGCTCTTCCTCGACGGGCGGGCCTCCTACTCCGATTGGGCTCCCCCCGATTGCGTTCTGCGCCATTTCAATCAGAGGGGCGATGCGCATATTATGTCCCTCGAGCTTCTAGCGATCGCGTTTGGCCTTTCCGCGTTCAGCGACGCGCTCGCGGGCAGGCGCGTGCGCCTCTGGTCTGACAACGTCGGTGCCGAGGCCGCCGCGCGGACAGGCGCCTCCAAAGAGTGGGACTATACGTGTCTCATCAATTCGTTGTGGCTGCAGGCGGCGCACTTGCGCGTTTCGCTCCGCGTCGACCGCGCCCCCTCGAAGCTGAACGTTGCCGATTTGCCGTCGCGGGAGCAGTAATGGCTCCTTCGCGTGATCGGCGCTTCTTTCGTGCAGCCGCGTCTTAGCGAGGCATTCTGGAAGCCCGATGCCTGGGCATCTCTTTCGGCTGCGCGGGCGCCGCTGCGCCGCGCGTGAGCGACTGTCGGCCGACAGTTCGGCTTGCGCGCCAAATCCTGTTGCGTCGGCGTGCGTGTCAAAATGTTGTTTTATTCGTTTTCGTGTTGCGTCCGCGTTGGTCGCGCGTAGCACAGCCGCTCCACGTGCGCTCGGCAGACAGGGCTCGGCGGCAGAAGGATTGCTTGGCGCGCGCCGACCCTCGAAACGGCAATGGCCGGGCACGCCGCTTCCATGCGAGTCTTCCTGGAGAGAGCCGCAGGCCCTGGCAGGCACGATGCGGCGTGGTTCGATGCGATCGCGGCGGCGCTCGCTGCCGAAAGCGCGTCGCGCCCGTCCGCGCTCGCTGGGGCCAAATTCAGAGACTTCCAGTTCCTGGGGGCGGACCTCGACGGCGGCCAAAAGCGGTGCATTCGGGAAGCTATCGCACTCGCGACAAGCGTTCAGGATTGCGCATTTCGCACCGCGAACCAGCTGCATCGCGCCCGCGCGCGCGCAGGAGGTGGAGGACCAAGTCCAGAGGCCGGCGCCGGCGCGGGCGCAGGCCGCCGGGGGCGTTGCCGTCGAAGTTCTCCTCGAGTCAAGGGTTGCGGAGGCGCAGGGGGCCCGCGCGCCGCAGTGCGGCGGGGGCCCGCTTGCGGAGCTCCGCAATCTTCGCCGGCGGCTCGACAGCGAGGAAGGCCCAGTGTGCGTCGCTGAGTGGCTGTCTTCGGCGCGCGCAGCGGCTCTCCTGGGCGCGTGCCCGCGCCCCATCGCCTCTTTCAAGAGCGGCGTGGCAGCATGGTTCGCGTTCGCGCGCGAGGCTCTTGCGCTGCGCGGGCCCGAGCTGCCGCCGTCCGCTGACGGGTTGCTCGCGTGGTCGCTGCTGTTTCGCTCCGACCAGACTTTTTCCGATTATGTCTCTCACGTCAAGCTGGCTCGTCAGGTTTGCGGTCTCCCTGTAGACGTTTTTTTCGTGACGCGCCCCTTCGCCGCGCCAAATGCGCGATTCGCAAGCGCGGCGCTTTCCTGCCCAGGGCGCCTCTACTCATCAGGGAGGACGCAGTTTGCGCGCTGCTAAATCTGTCATAAGAGCGGCGCGAGTCCGCCGTCTTCGCGCAGCTCTTTCTTGTCACGTACGTGTTTCTCTTGCGCCTTCCCTCGGAGGCCCTGGGCATTTCGTTCGACGGCGTAGCCTTTCGTCAGGGCGCAGGGGCTTCGCTCATTCTGTGCGACGGCCTCCTGCAGCTCAAATTGGCGCGCCGCAAGAACGAGCAATTCGGGTCCGCGCGCCAGCGGGCGTGCTGGTGCGTGCGCTGCACCAGGACGTGCCCGGCCCACGCGCTCGGCGCATGGTTCGCGGGCCTGCCCGTGGGCACCCGGCCGTTCGCGGACATTAGCGCGGCAAGCTCGCTGAGCGCGCTGCGCTTTCTCGTCGGCCAGATCGGCGTCAAAGACGCGATGCTCTATCGCACACGCGACCTGCGGCGCGGGCGCGCACTGGACCTCCAGCAGAGGGGGGGCACCTTGCGCGAGATCCTTAAAGCGGGCGAACGGTCCTCGCCCGCGTTCCTGTCGCATCTCGATATGACGCAACTAGAACTCGGCGCCGTGGTCGAGGCGCACCTGGCTGAGTCCGAGGACAAACTTGCCTAA